GCCTGCCTGGTGTGGGGACGGCCCTCGGTGGCCGAGGCGGTGACCACAACCAGCGCCCTCCCGCTCGCCACCCGCGCCGTGCAGCCGCGCAGCCCAGGCACCAGCGCTGTCTTGCAGCACCATCTAGTGCTGCGGGTGGGGAAGCCCAGCACTCCCCCCGAGAGCCACAGCAGCACCGTGGGGACAGGCCATGGCTGTCCCGTGTCCCTGGGTCCTGCTGCCAAGGCCGACCTGCCAGGGAAGCCAGCCAGGCTGTTGGGGATGGGGATGAACAGGCGGCACAGCGTGGCTGCTGGCCTGGGGCAGCCGGAACTACCTCCCCCGTGCTCCTGCTCTGTGCCAGGGAATTTCCTGCAAGGATTCTGGGAAACATCAAGGAGTGCAGACGTTCCCAGTTCCTGAGCCAAATGTATCTGGCCTCAGCTGCTGGTTTTGCTATCTCCTCCCACGGAAATTGGGCCTCTGCCCTCTCCTTGGAATACTTTTGCTTTTCCATCAGCCAGGTGACCCCAGCTCTGTCAGTCCTTTACCCTCTGGGTCTTCACCTCACTCTTGTGGTTTCTTCCTGCATTCCCAGCTGTTTCTTGGTGCCCGTTTTCCATAGCTGGTGTGAGCAGGACCCCTTCCCACAATTTGTGACTGTCCCCCTTTTTCACACTTGGGGCAATGTCAGACCTCTCCAGCCTGACTTTGGGGACACCAGGACCATTACACTGTCCTCTCCTTCCCTTGCTCTGTGTCCCCAGCTTGTCACTTCTCAGCTCGTCATCCCTCCTGGGTGTCTGCCACACTCCTTGCCCCGCCTGGCACTGGGGTGCTGGGAGAGCAGGCAGGATTTTGGTATGGGGAGGATGGTGCAGGCAGGACTTTGGCACAGAGCTGGATGCCATAAGAACTGAATGCTCTTCCAGGGGGGCCGTGGCGATGGCTGGTCCCACTCCCAGAGCACTGCTGTGGATGTGGGTGTCAGATATGCAGTCGAGTGAGGCAGCTGCTGATCCTCAACAGGGATCACACCCAGGTCCTGTGGCACTGAGGAGCTGGTGGCTTCCTTCCCTAAGGCAGGAAGAATTGGGCAGCTTGGACTGAAAAAGGGCCTTTTGAGTCCTGTCTCTACCTCAGCCGCCCTCCTCTCCTTGGGGGCAGCCCCAAAATCCCCCTGTCTGGGCAGTTCATTGCGTGGCTGGTGCTCTGCCTGCACGGTCATGGTAACCGAGGGGTGGGATCTGTGCCCCACAAAAGAGGGGGAGGGACTCAAACCTTCCCAGCCCTCCTGTGCTGCTGGGGGACAGTGGAGCCGGGTGAGGCGGGGTGAGATGGTGCTGACCCCTCAGGCTGCCCGTGGCCACCACGCTGTGTCCGCTGCCAGGCTCTGCCCGCGCTGCCGGAGCCCGCAGGAAGGTAAGAGTAGCAAAGCAGACACCGAACGTAACGTGGCCCTGGGCTGTTTGTGCGCCTTTTGTTCGGCAGCACCTTTCATGAATCAGCTAATTAACCACGTTAGGACGGCTCTGCTTCCCCGCCTGAGCTTTATTGGGCAGGGCAGATCTGGGGCACGTGCCAGCGGGAGCCCCAGTCGGCTTTGCCAGGCAGTCGGGCAGCTGAGGGCTCCCACAGCAGCCGAGGTAGGTGACGCCCTGAAGGGGTGCTGGCCATGGGCAGAGGGTGTGAGAGCCCTGTTCCAGTCACCCTCATTGCAGGCAAGAGCGCCATGCACTCGGGAGCAGGGTCCTGCCTTGCAGCCATGTCTGTGTTTCAGGGAAACTTATGGTGTGATGGACCCAAAACCGTGCAGAGAGCTCCCCTGAAGCCAAAAGAATTTTGTGCATCACCCTCCTCTCTCGCTTTTACTCAGCAGCTGTGCTACAGCCCAGCTTGGAGGGCTCCCAGGTGAAGACGTGGTTGGAGGGCGATGAAGGTGCAGCTTTATTCCCAATGTCTCTGTGCCAACACCTGGGCTGTGCACAGCTCCCTTCACTTCCCAGTGTGTCTCTGTGGCCTCTAACTGGGTGCCCAGGCTCTGCAGTGCCGCCCTGCCCTCTCTGCCAGGTTTCCACAGGCTGCCAGTGGGGCTCACAGCCCTCCCGACGTGGGGCTGTCCGGCTGGCAGGGAGCAGCCTCTGAGCACATTCCCTGCCCCGGGGCTCTCGCAGGAACAAATGCCCTGTGCGTGGGAAGGCTCTGGTGCCTGCCATGGGAGCTGCTGAGGCCAGAACACCCCGGCTGTGAACAATGAGCCCGGGAAAGCCGCGGCTGCCGGCCGGGATTCAGCGGCTGCTGCCGAATCCGGCCGGTTCCTCTCCTTGATCGGCCAGATGCCGATGGCTCCAGCAAGCGCCGGGAGGCAGCAGCTCCAGGTGAGCCAGGGTTTTTGTGAGTGGCTGGACTTTGGGCAAGGCCCTGTGTAGTGAGAGGCTCCTCGTGGCCCAGCCAGGTCCTACCCTCAAAAATTGCCCCTCTCCTACAATACAGCCCTCCCCTTGTGCAGAGCCCTGCATGTGGAACAGGCTGGAGGAAGTTTCCCTGCAAAGGCTGTGAAATTCCGGGTGGGAACTTTTTTGGTAAATAAAAGGGGGAATTGCTGTGTTGGTCCCCAAACCCACTTCTCACCCTCAACCTTTGCACAGAGGGCGAGATGGGGCTGCCCTTGTGTCACAGCCAGAACCACCCCAGGGACACAGATAGGTGGTGGCAGTGGTGACACCTGCACCCCTGACCTTCTGGTCTGCTCTTGTACTTTCCGGCCCCACTTTTCCCTTTGCTGGCACCTTTGCTGCCCCAGAGCCACGTTGACCGTGTCTCCTGCTCCTTCTCCCGGGGCTCCCAAATCCTGTCAGCCCCACAGGGAGGGGACTAGCAGCTGCCTGGGCCAAGCACAGGCTCCTGTTCTGAGCACAGCAGGGCCCTTTGCCTGGGTTTTGGGTGGTGTCTGGTCAGACCCCACTGTCCCCCCTACCCTACCGGGGCCTTTCTGCTGGCTGGCTCCGGGCCCCTGATCTCCCCTGGTCCTGCCGTTTGCTCCACCGATTCTGCCAGGGAGGCTGATCCCGGCATTGGGGGACTGGAGGCTGGTCCAGGGCCAGGAGCAGGTGAGCTGCTCCCAGCTATTTCCCACGAAGCCACTGGAGGGCGGCAGTGACCGCCGCAGAGGGGCCCGCCAGCTCCAACTGGGCGAACTGGGCAAACTGGGGCAGTTCGGGCAGGGCGGGCGCGGGCGGGGCGGGAAGGGGCTCCGGAGGTCCCCCAAGGCCGTCTCAGGGCCCGCGTCCCTCCAGAGCCCTCTCCCAGGTCTGCTTACCCCGTGTCGGTGGTCTCTTAAAGCCCCGCGGAGCCTCCAGAGGCCCCGCAGGGAGGACGTCCCGCAGGGAGGAGGTCCCGCAGGTGTCGGGGAGGTCAAGCGGGTGTGGGAGTTCCAAGCTTGTTTCATAGAATAGTTTGGGTGGGAAGGGACCTTTAAAGGTCACTTAGTCCAACCCCCCGCCATGAGCTGGGACATCTCCAACCAGTGAGGTGCTAATGGGGCAACCTGTTATAGTGTTTCATCCCCCTCATTGTAAAAAATGTCTGCCTTATATCTAGTATAAATTGACCCTCCTTTAAAGCTGTCACCCCTTGTCGTATTGCTACGGGCCCTGCTAAAAAGTCTGTCCCCATCTTTCTTATGGGCCCCCTTCAAGTACTGGAAGGCTACAAAAAAGTCTCTCTGGAGCCTTCTCCAGACTGAACAATCCCAGCTCTCAGTCTGTCTTCACAGGAGAGCTGTTCCTCCCCTTTTTGTGGCCTCCTCTGTACCCCCTTCCAACAGGGGCAGAATCATCTCCCTTGACCAGGTGGTCATGCTGCTTTGGACGCAGCCCAGGATACAACAGGCCCTTAGAACAGGCACCCAGGGTAGACTTAGTCCCACTGGGAACATCTGTCCCTTTGTTCTTGGTCCTGGTTGTAGCTGAGCCTGGCAGAGGAGGTGCCTGCTCCCTGTCTGTGCTGGAATCTCCCATGCATCTGCCCTAGAACACACAGAGGCACCTGCTCTCAAGATCCTCAACATTTTTAATTTTTCCTGTTTGGATACCTTTTGTCCCTCCTCTGACTGAGGTACCACCCTCACTGGGTGTCATTCATGCTGGGTGAAGTTTCAGTTGATGTCTTTGTTTGAAGGCTGGCCCAGGATGGTTCATGCTGCTGCCAAGACTCTGCCCTGTGAGTCTCAGCCACAGGCTGAGATCCTGTGAGGCTCAAGAGAAAGCTGCTACAGTGGCTAGTGAGAATTAGTGGTCCAGCTTCAGTCCCCCTAAAAAATATTTACATTGTATCCCTCCCAACTACACCCAGGGTCTGAATCCAGGGTCTGAAATGATGCCTTTTATGTCCCTGTGACTCCCGAGAAACTCAAGCCCAGCCACAGGACAGGCTGACCAAGGCGTTGAGGGATCATAGAGCTGTCTGGATGTTTAGGAGCAGAAGCTGGAGACGCCCCTTCCCACGATGTCCATGTGCTAGAGCTGGTTACAAGTGACAGAGGAAAGCAGGGCTGGAGGAATCTGTCACAGCAAAACTGCTGCTGTGTCATTAAAGCCTCACACATGTGGGGATTGTTGGTGTCATCAACTGCAGCCCCAGTGGAGCTCCAGGGAGCTCAGCCCAGCACGGGACTGATGGTGGTGACCTCAGGGGAACACAGGTTTTCCAGAGGGCTTTGAGTGTCCCCAGGCACTTCAAACAGCAGAACAGTGTGTGGTGCTGCTTGAAAACTGGTGACAAAGGGACAAAATGCCACGAGGGATTAACAGACAGAGGGGAGGCCAAGGAGAAGCCTTGGTCATTGCAGTCAGGACACCTTTCCAACATGGCCAGCTGGAGGAAGAGAAATTCAACCAGGATATGGGGGGTATGGAAGAGGCAGGACTGTGGAAAGCCCTCTGAAGCTGGCTTGAGTGATGGGAGCTTGTGCCCACTGAGAAGCATTTTTGTAACAGAAAGGAAAACACACAGAACTAACATTTCTTCCCTTCTTTGGACGGTAGGAATGTTTTAATTGAGAAATTTGTTTTAATTACATTAGGTGATATCACAGTCTATTTTACAAGTTCAAGGTAAGAGGATGTGTGGACCAGTTACACAGAAATCCAGCAAAAGGATAAAAACCTACAACATGAGAAAAATGAAAAGGTTAACTTAATCCCAAAAGAAAAGCATTGAGAGTTTGGTGTGAGTGGAAATGGGAGATTATACCAGGGTCCAGAAAAGTAGAAAGGATGAGACTAACATAATTTACAGTATTGGTTCTGCATGACCATCGTTTGCCCGTGTTCAGAGACAGCCTCTCTTCCCCAGGGCATCTCTGAGCAGATGGCCCCGTCTCTGAGGGTTTGGTCTGGTCTTGTCAGAGGAGAAAGCAAAATAACTGATGGGCAAAGGTCACAACCCACGTTGAGCTGGTCCCCAGGGTCACCGCCTACAGGAGTGTCTTCCACTGGATAGTCGGGGGGTTCTGCACCAAGAACTGCATGGAGGAAAACTAAAACATCTCCAAAAAGCCCCATCTCAAACGTAGAAAAGTCTCACTCTGGAAGTGCTTACGAGAAGATCGTCATCATAGAATTTGGTTTCTATAATAACATTACCACTGGGGGAGGAAAGGAGGAGAAAGGAGAGGCGTTAGAAGGACACAGACAGTGGACAACAACTGCTCCTCTCCACGTTCCCACAAGCCTGGGCTCACACCTTACCCACCCCACAACAGTGCAGCGAGCACCGTGTCCTGGATCAGTCAGGACTGAAGGATCTCCCAAGCACATTCCTATGTGGAATGTTCCCTCCATCCATCCCTCCCCTGTCATCCCCTCTCTGGGCACAGTACTGCTCAGGCTGCAGAGTGCTCAGACAGCAAACTTCTGCTCACTCCTATTGCTAAAAATAAACCAGCAGTCCCAGCACCTTCAAGGCCCCTCTCTCCTGCAGGAATTGTGAAAACCAATCGGAATTCTTTTTTTATTCCCTATCTCTGTCCTCTAGTGCTGAGCAAGCTACATCACCCAATTTAACATGTCATTTCCCTCAAGAAGTGCTTAAATACAAACATGCAAGCATATTTTATACAAACTGCAGTGGAAATGTGGATTTGGGTGTGACAGAAGCTCTGAGGATTTAACTTGCTGACTTTGGAGACTTTGGTAGGCAAAAGTAAGAACTTTTGAGACCATTACAACACCTGGACACCTGAGCAGTGTGATCTAACCATGTCTAAATAACCTGGCTCTTGAACACCAAAGCAGCAGCTCCACCTCTACTGTGGTTCTTGGTATAACACTGGGAAAGCTGCACCTGCTGAGTGTAAGGATTTTGCTGTGGTATGGACCGTGCTGGAACTCAAATGTCAGGGAATGTTCTCAATCTGATAGTCAGTCATCCTGGGAACTCTCGGTGCAGTGCCTTGATCAGCACCAAGTATCACATCTCCATTGTCTCCTGCTATGGGAACACTGAGAGAAACATAAGGTCTTTGGGAATACCAGAAAGTGAGGGGCTCTCCAAGTCCTGGCAGCTGAAAAAGGCTGATTTCATAGGGCCACAAATTTCCCTTTGGATTTCTTTGGGCTGAGGGTTCTAGTGAAAAGCCTCAAAAATTACTTTAGGACACCTCCATTGAATAGAAGAGAGATCTTGGCTGCCCACTACAAGTGGACATACTTCAGGGAAAGAAGGGACATGGGAAAATCCTCAAGGTCACTTGAGAACTGGACTCTCTTGATTCCCAGTCCTGAGGATGTCTTGATTTCCTGAGATGATCAAAACCAACTTGTCAGGTGTGCTTGTTTCTTTATTCTGACTCTCAAATCTGGCTCCTCCTGTACCGACTGACAGCCACCAGCTCTGGGAGCTGAGGTGTGCAGCACCTCTGAGGTTCTGAGCAGGCTGTGCCAGGAGCACTGTTGGAACACTGATGCTCCCCTGAGTCCACCCTCTCTTTGGAATGTGCTGGGAGTGGAAATCAGTGATGGTAGTTCCCATCCCGGTGTCTGCTCTATGCAATTGGCTTTCCTCCAGACAGGGAGCCAGAGGGAAAATGCTGGAGAGGGAGGTCTTCCAGAGGACACAGTGACCTTGCAGTGAGCCTGCTGCTCCCAGTCTGCCTCTTGTTGGCAGCGGGATTCCCAAACCCTTCTGTCTCTGCTGGCAGCGTGCTCCCTGTGTGCCTGCCAGCACCCATCTAGCACTGCAGAGAGGGTGGTTACCCTTCCCAGGGGCCTCCCTCCAGGAGCCTTTTCCATCATCCCACCCAGGCTGGAGCCTTGCTGCTCACACTCAGGGCAATGCCCAGCATGTGTTCCTGTGACACATCTGAGGGATCACTGACCTGCTCAGGAGTCCTTGTGTGAAGAGCAGCCAGGAGCAGACCTTCCTGAGGAAGGTGTGTGAATCTTACTACAGGTGCCTGTAAAATGACTGTTTCCTACCTGTTAAGGGTGTTTTAACCCCAGATACAACTCCCTGTGACTAAATGCCTGGTGTATAAGCCAATTTAGAGACACAAAGCTCAGCAGAATGGTACAGTGATGAAACAAATACTAGAGGAGCTACTACAGCTGATATATTGCACAAATAAAACCATCTTGGACAAGAGTCAGTGATCAATAGCTGACCTGAAAATGGCCCAGACATCTGCTGAGTTATTTTTAACCCTGGATGTAAGGGGTATTAAGCTGGAAAACATTTTGAAATCCTTTCATGGTTCCCCTTTCAAAAAAATTAAGCAACTCTAAAAAAGGATCAGTTCCACTTTCTCCAAACCTTTACTACTATATTAATGCAAATTGGACCTATGGGAAGGAAGGTAATGAGGTTAGCTTAGCCTCTTTTATCTCTCAACAACTAACAGTCGTGAGGTGATTCAGAGTTGGTAGCAGTTCCCTCTCCTCGTTCCCACTGTGGCCCCCAAGGAAATGCCACACACTGCTTTTGCTTTGCCTGCTCTCGGATTCTGCAAGGCCAAGGCACTCACGTTAAAACATTAGCTGGCATCATCTGTGATTCAGGTGCTGCCTCTATCAAGGACTGCCAAGTGTTTGTGGAGTTAGGAATCACAAAACCGAATTCAAAGAACCATTCTGCAAAGTAAAAAGAAGATCCAGAGGCATTTGAGAGACGATAAAATCCACAAATGGTCCTTTTGCTTTTCATCCAACAGGCTGGGGAACTCCCTAAACTGTCCTGCTGTGCTGCCAACATTTTACATTTAAATTACTTTGTACAGTTTTAGCTGCACTGAACCCTGCCCTCCTCTTAGAGCAGATACTCCCTTTCTAGAATAGCTGATGGTACTGATTAGGTCACACTACTTCCTTAGCATTCAGTGGAAATTTCATCACACCTAATTGGGAACAGGGAAACCACACTCCTCCCCTTGCAGACATCCCTCCCATCCAGTTGAGATTAAGTGTGCAACTGGTTGCCCAGAAGACACAGGGATCAGTGTTTTATCTGCCCCTCCTCCAGCCCAGATTAAGAGTCAGCAGGGTCAGACGTGGAGTCAGAGGCAAAGAAAGGTGGTGGCACTGCCTTAGCCCAGGTAAACCAGAGGCTCCAGCCTGGCAGTGGCCAGCACTCTGAGGAAGAGGCAGGAATTCCAGTAATAGGGGACTCTGAAATAACCTGTTTCCTTGCCTCAGGCAGCTTGTGGTGGATTTATGCCCTCAGGCATGATTACCCAGCTTTTTTGCTTACATAACAAAGTGTTAACACACTTATGAAAAGCAATCCCTAATACTGTGGCCCATTAGTCCTGACAAGATGAGTGCTTCAGTCTACTCTGAAAAATTAAAATCACCATGTCCAACCCATTTTAGTTTCTCTAATCCCCACCACACTGGGTCAGTCCCTGTGCTGCAGCACACAGAGCACATCCATACCTTCTAGACACTGCCCTTTGAAATAAACTTTCTGTTCCAGTCGGAATTTTTCCATTTGTTCTGCTGAGGAAAAGTTTAACTCCCGAGACACTGCTTTGCATTTCAGGATTTTTTTAGGAACTCGAGCTGTGAAACAGATAAAGAAGCATTATTGGACACAATAAAACAAACCCAGCTGCTGCAGGTACTATTTTTCTGCACCTTGAAATAATGATTAGTGCTAGTACAAGATCATAGCAGCAGGAGAAATGCAAACACAAAGGACTTTGTTTTTACATTTGCAAGAGTGAAATCCAAGATGCAAACAGGTTAATACCTTGCCCAGAGCCAGGAATTTTAAACTTGGGACAGAACCAGGGATACAACACTGATCTCTCAGTCTCCTGGTTCAGTTGTTTGTTACTAAACCCCATAATTTTTCAAGTTGAAATATGAGATGCAACTTAAATTTTTACTTTAGGAAGTGTGTTGAAGATCACAGGCAGCCAAAGGGCTGCTTAGCACACCAAACCTGTGAGCCCTTCCCACTTCTCCTTCCCTTTCACACCGTGCATCCCCAGAGAACCACAAACGGGTGTTTCTCAGCCCAGCAGCACTTCCTGAGCCACCTCAGAGCTCTGGGAAGTTGTCCTGCAGAAGTACACAAAATGCCTGTTCCTGACACACTGAGACCTACTCAGGCTGTAAAGCTGGGGCCACACTAGAGAGTTTAAGAGAGCAATTTGGCAATCCAGGTTTCTGGGCCCTTGCAGTGGGTGAGACACCAAGTGGCAAACTGTACCTTGTAGATATTTCACAAAATTATTTTCTTGTAGAGGTGGAGGAGTAAGAGAAGGGACAGCTTGGGAGCACTGATTAATATGCTGAAAGGTCCTAATCAGGAGAATATGGTGGAGAGTCCATATAGTAAAAACCTCCCAAGCCTGTCGTGTTTCAGTGGTGTGATTGTGCATAATCCTTCCTGCATATTAGAGAATGTTTCATGTAAATTTATTAGAAATAAAGAGGGGAGGGAATACAGCTGGCATGTGCTTTATGAGCCAAACTGTTCCTAAAAACATCCATGAAGAGAGAGCAGGCTGGTGTTTAATAAAAAGAAGAGTCTACCAAACCCCAGGCAAATCCATCTAACGTAGAGCAGTTTAATGGAGTAGGACCTTGATATGAAACCAATCTCAAGAGCTGGAGGGTTAGGGAATGTAAGGCAGCATCCTATCCCATGGAGAAGCACACAGCCCACAGTTGGTTAGAAAAAAAAAGATAAAAGAAGAAATTAAAAGTGTAAGGGAAGAGTGTTAAATGTAAAAGCTCTCTAATTATTTTTAGGGTTCTTTTTTGTCAGCATAGAAATCTGCATGGCACCATCCTTTACTCACAAGTACAGACTACAGTCTGTTATGATAAATGTCCTTCTGCAGTTAAGTGTAAAATGGCTCATTAAAACTACTCTGCAATTTAGTAATTACATTTCTTTCATCCCCAAGACAGATTGCTGAGTGTGTCTGCTTTAATATTGTAAAACTACAAAATAAAGGATTACTTTGAATACAAGTAGCACTGTGTAGTCTTTAAATAACTTATTTAAGAGATTTTAATTTATATTTATACCATTAAGCAGAAAATTTTAACTGAAATTATTTACTTAAAACTCATTTTACTTTTATTTCTCCTTTTTTTCTATTAAAAAGACAGGAAAGAAAGAAGTTTGATTCTCATCAGTTAGGTCCATTTTAAGACATGCTGGAATACAGGTAAGCATAGACTTAATCCTAAATTTACTACTGCTTTTTGTTAACTTGAGGATATTCTACACCTGCACATTTATTTAAGCAGTTACATAGCTAACATACATTTAGTCAGATGCTTTATGCTGATTAGATTAGAAATGACACATTTCTTATTTATCAAGCAAGTCATTTTGGGTCCAACTGTACTTAGTTAGAAACTGCAATTCAACTAAAATATCCATATCATTATGTTTCCATACAGTTTAATAAAGCTACCTTAAATATTGAGACATGAGAAAGCAAGCTATCTTAGCCAAACTGAGTTTACATTTCAGACTACAACTTTGCTTAAACCATGAAAGGACTATTTGTATTTCACGAATGAAAGCTGGCTGTGGTGACTGGGAACAACACGGGATTCTGTAAGTGCTACACCTCAGCAGCTTACTCCAAGATCTGCCTGCATACTGGAAGAAACTAAACTTCACAGATTTGCATCTCCCAAATTGCCTCCCAGTTTTGAATGCCCTGTCACTGAATTGAGTTGACGGGAAAAGCTCCTGCTGTCAAAAGCTGGTTTAGATGATTAATTCCAGTTTCAGGTGCTCAGGCAGTGATTTTCACTACTTAAGGCAGCTTAATGTTAAGGCTTCAGCAGCAATCCAATACCACATTAATATTGGTTTTATTTCATCTAAGTGGTAATAGTAAGTTAAGGCAGTAATACAGTATCATGATTTGAAACTTAAGAGTTCATTTTATAAAGAAATCTGTACTTAAATCAAATAGAAGTTGTACTTAAAAAGCAAATAGAAGTTCTGTTTAAAGGAAATACATTTTATTCACTCTGCTATATATTTGGTTCTTTGTTTGCTATGTTTAGCCTGTGATTTGTCCTGAATAGACACAAAACATACACACACACAAAAGTACTATATAATGACTTTAAGACACATATGGCCTTCATTTTAAAACAATTATTCTGACTGTCCTCATTGGTTCTGTTGCAGGACTGTACCAGAACTGCATTTCCTCACACCTTCTTTTAACTCACAGTCAGATTATCCCCCTTTGCTGGATGCCTCTCGCCTTTCTCAGCCTATTTATTGAACATAATCTATCCACCTCAGCTTTTTTTCTTGCTAAGCCATACAAGAATGGCTTCTTTCCTCTGTTCTCCAAAGGAAGACTATCCTCCCATCCATAATCTTTTCAGTGGCTTCTCCTAATAGCTCTCCTCTGCATCTGTTACAGGTTGCAGTCATCCATCTTCTAGATGGATGAGTGAACTGCACACCAGATAAGGTCTAAACAATTCCTTGTACAATGGGCATTAATCTCAGGCCAGAGTATGTTTTTAATTAATTCCCCAGGCTCCTCTGATGGAGATGAGGGTTCCTTTTTAATATGTGAGGAAAATCTGAGACACAGTGAGGTGACATGACTGGCCCAAAGATGACATCTGTCCTTCAGAGTAGGGGTATGTTTATACCTCAGGTGACCCAGAAATGCAGCACCACCCAGCCCCAAGATGCACAATAAAGTCACACAGTACCTTCATGCTCCACTCCAGGTACAGACAGATCTTCTGTTCCTTGCCAGAGGATTTTCCCTGTTTCTGCATCCCGAAGGTTCATCCAATTTCTGATTGGGAAGCAAATAAGGAAAACAAGCCATCTACACCCCTAAATGCTGCGTGCAGTATTCTTGGCTAAGCTCTGAAATAGGCTACTCCAGCTGAGTTTCAATCTCATTTTCCGATTCTCAGGAGGCCAAGGAAAGAGATGCCTTTTCCTAGAAAATGAATGAACAAACCAACCCCTGACCAGAATGAATTCAACAAGAGTTGTATAGCCAGAGATTTAGTTTTCACTTCAGACTGAAGCTTGTTAATCTCATTTATCATTTTCCGTTGCTTCTAGAGGATAAAGGCAGTGCCACTGAGCTGCAGAGAAGCAAGAGCATTGCTAACAATAACAGATAACTCTACACAAACAATTGTTGTTCTCCAGCATTTGAAAAATGCTAGAAAAAGGAGTGCTTCCTACAAAATGTTATAAAAAGAGTAACATCCAATCAAGCTCGTTTTCTTAGCCTACAAAATATTAATATCACAGGTTGTTCTATTGTGATTGACCTTGTAACTGCCACTCATGGGAATTCTTCAGCTGCTGAGAGCTAAGCAGAGAGAGATCTTCTCTTTTCACTCTCAGCAAGTGAGGCTGTGCCAGCTGTCAAAAATCCCAAATCAGTGAGTTAGTCATTAAAGTTACAGGCAAGTAGGAAATACTCTTTTATTTCCAAAGGGACAATTAACAGTGATCTTAAGCACACGTTTGAAAAGTCTTTCCCATAGGATAATTCAGACATCAACACCTCAGAACAAGGATCCTGCATGCCTGCCCGATGCCATCCTGAATGGGGACAGACCCATCCTTAAGCCTCCTGCCCTCCTGCTCCACAGCTCACCAGGGAGGCTCCAGGGATTCACCAGTGTAAACACCAGAGACTGACTGGAGTAGGATCTCTTAGATGAGCCCACACAAACCAGTGCCTTTCCAGGAGTTCCCCTGGGCTGGTTTATGGCAGCACACCCCTCGTACTCAGTACTTCCTGGACCAACTGCTCAAGGGGCTGAGTGGGGAGGCAGAGAAGCAGCAGAGGGACAATATGGACCTTGACGTGGGTATAAATAGGAGCTGTCAGAAATTTGCATGCTGAACTCATCCTCTAACACACACAGTTTCCAGGCAGACAAACTCGTCACATTGATCACATTTTTCCAGAGCTCCTGGGAAGAAACAGATGCTTTAGCAAATTTTGCATTACAGGGCAACATTTGTTTTAAAATTACATGTGTGGAGGAAGGAAGGGAAAATGGTCGCTTCACACAGATGTGAAGATTCTTTCCCTTCCTGAGGGCTGGCCAGACTTTCCACGTCCCACTGAAAGGACAGGAGGGAATGTGTGCACAGGGTCTGTTTACACACAACTTAGCAACAACTTGGAGCATGGGAAGAGGGAGCGTGGGGCAGCCTGCTCATGTCCTTCTAGGCCTGTTCTAAAACACATAACACTTTTTCTGGGATTAAGGCAAAAATGAAAGGGGGAGAAGACAAGCATCATCCTCCATATCCTGGCAGAAAGCTGGAAAGTGGAGCTCTCTCCCCAGCTAGCAACCCAAGGGAGATGGGGGCTGGCACAGAAGTCAGAGAGAGAAAATGAGTAGCAGAATGGCAAGAAGAACCTGCAGCAGGGCCGGGCACTTCACATGATGCTGGCTGGAAAACCCAAAGTCCTCAGCCAACACAACCTGCAGGATGGAACTGCCCCAACCATAATTTAAAATGTCCAAAAAAATCCACCGTTTTTCCATACATCTTCCTGTGGACAAACATACAAACTAGCCAGGGTGAAACTATTTGCATAGAAAGCAGTGTGCCATCCATCAAATGCCATGTACGAGGGGAAAATAACAAATGAGACAATGTGAGCATCTCACTGACAAACTCGTTTATCTTCACGACACTCCGTGATGCAAACTCTCTTCACTATTAGCTGTACAGTAATTTAGCAAATTGGGCACTTGAGTATCAAAAACCTGCTACCTCTGAAAAATGATCCTCACAAGTATGTACTTGAATTTGTTCACTATCAATACCAGTGGGAGTTATGAGCTCACAGGTTTGGCCATTGGCCGTGTAGTGCCAAACTGGGCAGCAGACAAGTTCCTCTGAGCTGGAGATGAAGCACTAAGCAGAACAGCAAACCCAAGTCTGCACAGGAACTGATCCAGCCTCCCAATTGCTGTATCAGTACTCTAACTAATGGACTATTCCTTTTTCCTTGATATGAATTGCCTTGCCTTCCTGTCCCTCTTCCCTTATCAATTTTTGGAGCACCCTGAAATCACATTTACCATTTTCAAAAGTATTATATTAGGAGTGCCCTTGAGAGAGAAGTAGCCTGACAGCTTAATTATTATCCTTACTTGAAATCCACAGTTATAAACTGTTAGTGACCTACTATTTCTGGAGAGAGAAAAGACTACTGTAGACTGCTGACCTCTGTCACTTCTCCCTATCAGGATTTGACTCTCAATCCAGACCAAGAAAGGTGACACAACTTACGCTGCCATACTGAACAATGCTAGACATGTTAACATTTCGGGTGTTAGACTTCCATAAAGTGCTTTCTGGCTTTATTTTGTATTGATGTTCCACTGTAAAAAGTAAATCTATGCAGGACAGCCTGCCCCATGCTTTGTATTCTGTCAAATTAAAGATGAAGAGTAAATAAAAAGCTCAAGGCTATACCCTCCTGATGAGAGCCTGCCTTATGCATGCAGCAATGCATGCCACAGTTCCTAGAAAATATCTTGTATTGAAACAATCTGAATAGGGCCAACCTGTGTAAATTCCACATGAAATGAATACAGGTTTGGTGTCAGCCAAAGGCTTTCTGGCCTTGTCAGGTGCATGTGATGGTTCAGGACGTGCTTTTCCAACTTCTGCAAATGAAAAAAATGAAATCAACCTGCTAATCAGAGTGTATACACAAAACTGAAACATGTGGACCCAGACATATTTTAAGGGATCAGAATACTCGAGCCAGTTAACAAGTTTTTTTCCCAGTAACTGAGCTTTATTAAAAGGGAAGAACAAATCATTAGGTGTTAAAAGCACACACATGCACAATCTTCTTCTATTGGAAAAAACCACTTCATGTACAAGAGGTTAATTCTTTTAAAAAAAAAAATCTATGTTTAAAAAGACACGGGTATCTGAAAAAAATCCTAAGTCAAAACTGAGATAATTTATAAAACTTAACTGTAATGGGATTAAAAAGAGGCAGAACCCATCACAAGTGATTTCTTGACAAGGGAATACCTGACAAAGCAGCAGCTGTACTGCTTACCTAGTTAGCAGCTTATCACACTATTTCTGTCATCTTGGATAGAAAGGCTGCTACTAGGACATACCCCCGAGTGAGGAAAATGGAGATCTTGAACCAAACCCACACACACTGTTATCTTCTAATGTGTTTAATTGGTTTAAGATTCTTCCACCTCAGCATGAGAGATATTGTTACTAAAAATAAAGAGTGCTCCATTCCTGAGCAGCACTGGAGATCTGCAGGCAGGATGAAGAGGGCATTTTAAGCATTGTTGAAAAGGAGAAAGTAAATTAATATTGGTTTAATACAATTACTCTTTTTGAAGAGGCTCATGTCAAGCCACCTGGCAGGCGTAGCTAAGAAGAGCAAGTAGAAAACCAGGCAGTTACAGCTTTGTTAGTATATGTGGGGGGGGGAAAGGAAGGACAATAGAGTACTTCTAATTCAGTTTATCACTCTCAGTCACAAGAACACTCTTACACTATTAAATTTTCATTCACCTGGATTTTGGTGGTTTTGGTGGTTATTTTGGAAACAATGTCTGATTTAAGACTCAATAGATCAAATGCTCTTCAATCCTGAAGGCAAGAAAGGATTAGGTAGAACAGCAGAAGGAAGGGTGTTCTGTTGATCTATTTATATTCCACCACCTATTGGGTCAGCAAAGTCTTACATAAAAGCTTTGTAGTAGCTGGAATTCGACTTGCTTTATATACACGACATGAATTAGCTTCCTCACAGACCTACTTTGCTTAGCCTGATGAAGGGAAATGGTTTGTGCATTTCTAAGTCCAATTTTTGCTGTCTTGAATACCTCTGATGTCAGAACAGAAATTCTTTCTTTTTTGTATCTGTTACAGAGATCACTTTGTTCAAACAAATCAAAATGTACATCCTTATCTTTTAGTTCTTTAGCATTGCAAAAGATTCCCTTGTATTACCACACTTGTAATTAAGAATAACCTTGAAGGAAGAAAGAGTACGAACAAAAGTAATCACTGAAGTAGTATAAAGTTAAGTTTTGCCTCAATATCCTTGACTGTTACTGATATGGTGTAATGTTTAGCACTTCTTGCATCTCAGTTGTTTAAATCCAGTCTGAGGAGTAAGGACCAACATAAATTACCCAAAATAACTACCAAACTACAGGATTACTAAGTAGACCACCCAAATGGCCTTATGCTTCTCCTGACCACTCATGGCATTCATCCTCTAATCTTTCCAATCTCTAATCTCACTTTTTATTACAACTCCCAAATCCCTCTTCCACAGAACTCCTAATTGTGTGCTTAAATTTAAGCATATGCACAGACATTTTGCTCGATCAGGCTCTTGAATTCACTCTGTTCACACTCAAGAGAAATGCTGCTGTTTGGTGTTTAATAAACCACAAGCACAACATGCTGGCAGTGTGTTAAGAGAAAAGGAAACTGTCCTCCCAGCCTAAGCACGAAATTCAGTGCAAAATCCTATCTACTGAATGAGCATCCATTCATACCAAAGCAAACACTCCAACTGGAAGCTATTCCTCAAACATTACTGGAGCCTTTGGGTATAGCACTGTCAACTTTCCCTGTTTTCAGACAGCAGCACACTCTCTTGAGTTCCAGATTAGACAGAAAACATGCTATGACAGTTCTTACAAAAGCAGGGCTTTTAAAAAACTCATCTATTATAAACCGGCTTTCCTGGAGTGATGCACAAGATATGGGTTACTGTGCTTCTCCAAATGATGGGAGGTGCTGGGGACTGGAAAGGTGCTCTATTAAATCCTCAAATGGAAGGAAGCCAATTATCCCTTCAAAGCACTCCTGACACTCCTGTACTTGCTGTAAAAGAG